ACAGAGAAACCCTGTCTCAAAAAAATTAAAAAAAAAAAAAAAAAAAAAGACTGCAGTGTGACCCGTGAAACACAGGCGCCTGTAAGCAGCCCTTCACCTTTGCTTCATTAGGAAGCCCAGTGAATTCAGAGTGAATCTGGGGGGAGATGGGGACCTGGGAAGGATTTTTTTGTAACACTTGGCTTCAGTTAAATGTAGAGGAGTCTTGTGCCAGGATTTAAAATTTTGAGTTTTGAAGTTGCCTTCCAGGAAGACTGTAGTCCTCTAGATATGTCCAGGACACACACACAGTGTCTCTCTCTCTCTCTCTCTCTCTCTCTCTCTCTCTCTCTCTCTCTCTCTGTTGTGTGTGTGTATGAGTGCGTGTATGAGTGTGTGTGTGTGTGTGTGTGTGGTGTTTGTATGTGTGTGTATTGAGTGTGTGTGTGTATTCCTGTGTGCCATAGCACTTGTATGCAGATGCAAAGACAGCCGTCCATCTTGTTTGAGATGGGTTGTTTTCAAGCAGGCCCTGGATCTTCTGAGGACTCTCCACCAGCCTCCCATCTCCTCACAGCAACACTGGGGTTGCAGATGCTCTTGCTTCCAGCTTTTATGTGGACTCTGGAAATTAGAACTCAGGTCCCCACACATACACAGCAAGTGCCTTTATCACCAAGCTGTACCCCACTGGTCCCTCCTGTAATATTGCTTACTGTCAGTCCTTCAGTCTGGTGTTGCTTGTCCTCACAGGGTGGGTTGAACATCTTTAAACCTAGAATCCTATTCACTGCAAAAGAAACCATAGCTTTTAGTTGTCGCTTTTATTTCTTTTTGTCTGTGCATGAGAGTTTTACCTGCATGTATGCATATGTATGTATGTGCCATGTTGGTGTCTGATGAGGGAAGACGTTGTCAGATCCCCTGGAACTGGAGTTGAGGATGGTTGTGAGCCACAGTGTGGATTCTCACAGTGGAACGTTAGCCCTCTGCCCCAGCAACAAGTGCTCTAACCGCCAACCCATCCGTCCACTGAAACCACGGCTTTTAAGAAGATTCTGTGTTCATTAGATAAAACTATAAGACTTAAGGACACTGATTCCAGTGTCCAGTGAGCAAAAATAGCCAGGGAGCTGTGCTCCACCAAGGAGGGTAGACGGCTGGGAGCCATTAGGAATCACCTGTCCCTTCAGTCCCCTGAGTTACCTCACTGCCAGAGCTCTGAGGCACAGGGGCTTCCCGTAAAGTGAGGTACATGGTTTCTGAACTCTGAGGTTCTGGGTGTTTAGAATTCACCCACATTAACTTTGTAAAACTGAAGCATAAGAGCAGACATATTGAGTAACAGAGTCTTCCTGGCTGGCCAGGACTTGATACTAAGTAAGAAACATCCTGTGCTGCTTCCTCAACTTTACACAAGCCTAGATACTCCTGGGAAGGGAGAGCCTGGCCCAGGGCTCGCCTCCATCAGGCCCATAGGCACGTCTGTGGGCCATTTTCTTAATTGCTATCTGATTGGGAGACTCGGTGGACCTGTTCTGTATGGCAAAAGTAGCTGAGCAAGCAGGAATTGCAAGCCAGTAAGCAGAGTCCCTCCATGTCCCCACCTCCAGGTTCCTGCCTTGGCTTCTGTCCTGGATAGTTGTCTGTCAGCTTGACACAAGCTGGAGTCATCTGGGAAGAGGGAACCTCAGTTGAGAAAATGTCTCTGTCACCTTGGCCTGTGGGCAAGTGTGTGTGTGGCTTCATGATTGTTGTGGAGGGCCCACGCACTGTGTGTGGGCCCACCCCTGGGCTGGTGGTCTTGGTTTTGTGTATGAAATCGAGCTGAGCAAGCCATGGAAAGGAAGCCAGTCTTCCTCTCTGGCCTCTGCATCAGCTCCTGCCTTGACTTCCCTCCAGGATGGACTATAAACTGTCTGCAGGGATAAACCCTTTCCTCCCAGCATTGCTTTGAATCACTGTTTATCGCCACAGCACAGATGAAGCTGGAACATTTACTTCTCAGGTACGGGGCACCACTGTTGCTGTTTCCCCAGACTTAGGGGGAAATGAATGGCGTTACACCCAGTCTGCAGGAAATTAATGACATTGGAAACAGATGAGAAGAGAAACAGAAAGTGGCAGGGTGAAAAGATCAGTGCTGATTTCTAGACTTGGCCAGTGGCTTAAAGAAGCAACTGACAAGAGGAAAGCTTACTGTGGCTCGTGGTTAAAGGAGATCCAGTCCACCTCGATGAGGAAGGCACGGTGCAGGCGCCACGTACCACTGGCAAGGCAGCCTGTAAAACTCCTGGTCGACACTTAGTCACGCACTCAGTGAAGCTCTACCTTCTAAAAGTTCTAAAAGCACACCGCAAAACAGTGCCATGGGCTAGAAGCAGGCACTTCAAACACACTGGTCCATGGGGGACCTTTCATATTCAGACCACAGCTAGAAGGAAGGAAGAGGGGGGACTGCTGGCTGGCAAGTTCTCCTGAAGGCTTCCTGAGATCAGTCACTAAATCTTAGGTCTTGTTGCTTCCACTTTTTTGCACATCCTCAGTCCAGTTCAGCCAGAAGGAAGAATGGTAGGAACTCTCCCGAGCACCTTCCCAACGTAGCCGAGGGACAGCCCTCCAGGGAGTCCAAGGAGGTCCCTGCAACACCTTCAGGGCATTTCAAGTCCAAATTGGGCAGTACTAACTTGGGGAAAATACACATTAGAACATTTTAACAAAAAAAATACGTTTAATGAGGCTGGGTGTGGTGGCGCACACCTGTAATTCTAGCATATAGACTGGGACAGGAAAATTAAGAGTTCAAGGCCAGCCTGGGCTCCATAAGCCCCTGTCTCAAGAGGGGAGGGGTGTGGTACTGTGACGCCATCTTTCTCCCTGCCACATTCCAGCACTCAGGAGCTGAGGCAAATGGATTACTGCCAGTTTAAGGACAAGCTGAGCTGTATAGCAAGACTATAAAGGAAGAGAAGCTGGAGAGACGGCTCAGCAGTTAAGAGCACTGGCTCCTCTTCCAGAGGACCCGGGTCGTTTCCTGCAACCACATGGTGGCTCACAACTGTAACTCCAGACCCAGGAGATCCGATGCCCTCGCTTGGCCTCTGCACAGACATATGTGTAGACAAAATACCAAAAATATACACATAGAATGTTTGATGAAGGGGCTAAGAGAAGGAAGGTCACTGTGTCATTTGGGGCAGAAACAGGCTTCTTCAAACCATAATCGGGGTGATGACAGGGGAACCTTGAGAGTGTTTCACAGTTTTGTTTCCAGCGAAGCTGGCAGGGTGGGTGCAGTTGGAATCGTGCCCTGTGCAGGAGCCTAGTTAACTGGTGCGTGAATCCTCCACACACTCTCAGGAGGCAGCCTCACTGCCTGCCCAGGCCTTCCCTAATGGATTTCCATTTCTATCGATTGGGGACTTAGATGCTGACTAGCAATTAGTCCTAATCAGGCAGCAGGATTTTCCTAGGGGGCTGCCAGCTAGCCTAATTGCTGGCAGCTGTGGGAACGCTCAGCTACCAGGGACACGATGTTAACCCACGGCTTCCCGGGCTCCACCTCGACTTGACCTGACAATCCCTCCAAGTGTGTGTGACTCTCCATGATGAAGAAAGACAGGCACCACCCTGCCCCCACACGCCCAAGGTAGGGAACACTTCACAGAAAACCAAAGCAGGATTAGAGAAAGTTACATGACCAAGAGTCGCAAAACTCCAAACTACATAGTTACAATGAGTTATTACCTCATTCTCTACGCTCTACTCTTCCTCCCATCTCCTGTTTTTTTCTTGTGTGTGTTTGTGTGTGTGTGTGTAAGGGGGGGGCATGTGTGTTTGTGTGGGCGCTGTGCAGGTACAAGCTGAGGCCACGTGTCTTTCTTCCGACCCCTCTCCACCTGTTTTTCTTTTTTGAGACAGGGTCTCTTAATGAACTTGAACCCGGCTGGCCAGCGAGCCCCTGGTACACCTGTTCCTACCTGTGTGCTGGGGTTACAGTTGTTTAGGTTTTGTAGTGGTGGTGGTGGTGGGTTTTGAGACAGGTTACTCTGTGTAGTTCTGGCTATCCTGGAACTCGCTCTGTAGACCAGACTGGCCTGTGAACTCACAGAGATCGGCCTGCCTCTGCCTCCCAAATACTGGGATTATAGGTATGTGCTACCACCACTGGGTAGGTTTGGGGTTTTGGTTTGTTGATTTGTTGGTTTGTTTGTTTAAGACAAGGTCTCTCACTTTGTCCCTGGCTGGCCTTGTCTATGTAGGCCTTGAATTCAGAAATCTGCCTCCACAGCACTGGATTAAGAGTTCACCACCAGCCGGGCGGTGGTGGCACACGCCTTTAATCCCAGCACTCGGGAGGCAGAGGCAGGCGGATTTCTGAGTTCGAGGCCAGCCTGGTCTACAGAGTGAGTTCCAGGACAGCCCGGGCTATACAGAGAAACCCTGTCTCGAAAAACCAAAAAAAAAAAAAAAGAGTTCACCACCATACCCAGCCCCATGCCTGGCTTTTACATGAGTGTTGGGATCTGAACTCAGGTCCTCAATCTTATGCACTAAGCTATTTACTCAGCCCTGTCTTCCTCCCCCTCTCCCCTCCTCCCCCCAGACCCAAAGAGTGAGCCCAGGACCTTATAAATACCAGACAGCCATTCTACCACTGACGTCTCCAACCTATCTGTTGTAGTTTTTTCTTTGTTTTGTTGTTGTTGTTTTAATGAAACATTTTAACGTTTTTATGTGTCTCTGAGGGGAGTGTGTGTGTGTGTGTGTGTGTGTGTGTACGTGTATGGGCCTCAGGCTAACATCCACAGTTTCCCTCAGTTGCTCTTTCATGTAGCCCCTGAGCTCAGTGGCATACCTGCTCTACCAGCCAACTTATTCCTGGATCCTGCCTCCATCTTCTGAGTGATGGAGTCACAGGCAGGCTGCCATGCCAACCTGGCACGTCACACAGACATGGCGAGC